ATGTCTTCACCTGTAATTAGGGGGCTTGCATGTCCCCAGAGACTATAAAAGCCTTGGTTAGCAATAAATCTCTTTCTCTCCCTCCCCATGGACCACCCAGTGAGGCTGAGGTGAGCATGCTACCTTGAGATGCACCTGACTCCATTATTTCAATCTCTCTTCTATCTCTCATGCTCTCTATGACTTTACTAAAATCTTTACTTATTATTGCTGTACAATTGCGCCTACCGGACCTGGGATGATGTGCTAGGGGCTGGTCTACCCTGACAGACCTCATTCATTGGAATGTGGTATGTTTATAAAAAGTGAATTCTCATTACCTATAACCAAACCAAACCCCTGCCACAGAGTTGGTTCTGACTCATAGCGACCCCACATAAGGTTTCCAAGGCCGTAAATATTTATGGCAACAGAGAGTCTCATCTTTCTCCTGTGGAGTGGCTGATGGACTTGAACCACCAACTTTGTGGTTAGTAGCCCATCGCTTACTTGAAAGTACCACCAGGGATCCCTTCATTTCCTATGGCCACGCCTCACATTCCCCGGTTAAGATTATGAAGTACGAAAGGGAATCTGGTTTGTATTCTAGCACTGAGGATCCCCGGCAACTTGCCTAACTGTCCAGAGACTCCTTTCCCTCAGGTGGTGGCAACAATTAAGTAAGATGACTCATTTACATGTCTATTAATGTTGGGCACATGGCAGGTGTACACGTTCATGGGTGTTTATTTCCTTTCTAATGATACAGTTTTCAGACAGTCCTTTTCCAGTCAGTAGCTGTAAAGTGGACTTAGAGTTTATGAATAATTGTTCGGGTCCACAGACAAAAGAAACACTTTGGCCCATCACATGGGTGTTGCCTTTAATCACTCCTCATCTAAGCCATCTGTTGACTCCCTCCTTGTTCTGCTGCAGCCACATTGGTCCTCTTCTTGATCCCTGCACGTGTGTACCTGACCTCTGTCTACCTCGGCCTTTCCGTTGCCGCTCTGCCTGAAATGAGCTGACCACAGATAGTCACAAGATTTCCTCCTTTATCTCCTTCACACTTTGCTCCTGTTCCCCCGCCCCCCACTACTCCACTGTAAGTTGTAAACTTCTAAACGCCTCCTCCTACCCCTTCTTTCACTGTAAGAGGCATGACTTTCTAGTACATTCTATACTTTGCTTATTTATTTGGTTGCCTGACTATCTCCCCACAAGAAGAGGGATTTTTTTTTCCTGGATACTTTAGCAGTGGTCCCTGAGAATACAATCGACTGTCACAAAGCAGGTGCTAGGCAAATACTTGCCCTATGACTCTCACAACACTGAGAGAATAAGTAGGTCTGGAAATGACCCCCTTGACCCTCTTGAACAATGGGTTTGGCCTGTGGAAAGACACGGAGCCCTGGGGGTGCAAACACGCTTTGGTGGCTTGAGTCTGGCCAGAGGTATCTTGGAAGAAAGGCCTGGGGTCCAGTTCTGAAAAATAAACCATTGATCATCCAACAGAGCCC